TCTGCCACAGCCATTGAGAACGATTTTGAATCATATCACCGATTGTCTCCAGCAGCTATTGGTTCTTACTATCCCGGAGAGAACCCAATCAGCCAGAATTCTTCACCTTCCTACATGGCTCGCTGGCTGCCTTAAACTAACTGTTGTGGATTTCATTGATTGATGAAGCCATGTTTTGGTTTGATCACCACTAAATAGCCCTTTTTCAGCGTGATCCCTCCCGTGTCACGGTAATCCCATTCCTCGATGTGCTGCTTATCAAGAGACAAGACTGTACGATCAAAAGATCAATATATCGCAAGCCAACATAGACGGGAAAGTTTATTAACTACTACTGCATCGTCCTACTTATCTGACGGCAAAGCTTAGTACATACATTAAGTCCAAGGATTAAAAAACTCTGTATGGATGATACAATTGAGAAGGGATCAAATTTATTGCGTAAAACCCTACTAGAGAACGGATATCCACCAAGATACATGGACAAAACATGAAAAGCCTTTGTCGCCATAAATCACAACTGTTTCTACCACAGGATGACATGCTGAAAATTCCATATATTTTTACCAAAACTACAGTTTGGAATAAAGCTATTACTATTATTATTTGGTTGTTAAGCTAAAAATCACGTTATTACGTAACGAAATTTGACAGATATCGAGGAGAGCTGATTATCAGTCAGTCTGATAATCAATAATCTCCAGTCGACTTTCCGATTTCAATATATACATACAGCGTATTACATACATGACTCCATTAAGACATTCTAATAATTATCGTTATTTCATGTTGTGTATTAATATATGAGTGCGTCAGTGGTTCGGTCGTAGAATACTCGCGAACCACATATATGATCCAGAATTCGATTCACAGCCAACACAATCTTAAACCACGGCTAGCCAGTTATAAGCCCTGTAAACTGACACATGAAACAACTCCCTATTTTCTTCGACTTTGAACAAAGCGCTCACCATCAGTAATAGGCTAAAAGTTGTATCGAAATACTGAGACTATTTTACCTGAGTCAACATAAAGAATCCCTCTGTAAAAGACGGTACATTTGAAGCCTCGTAACAACACAGATATGAACTATTTGTGAATTTTAAACCCTAAATTCTATACACTGTATCAGGTCACTTAATCACTACACTAACAGAAGTTTCTATAGCGATTGGATTGATTTTTCAAGACAAAACTGCTAGCCCCAGAGGTCCAACCTTCTCTCTTTTCCCAGGGTTAAGACCGCCTAGAAAACTAGTAAACTTGGAAGTCTACTGCACTCAGCCAGCATAAAGAAAGAAATTCAGATTTACAAAACCAATTTAAAGTCAGTCAGTCCTTCTATAGAAGGATCAGATAACTTAGCGTGGGCGTAACGAAAAGCGTTCCTAACACTGGTTACCCTCTAAGCTGGCTCCATAACGAGGATAAGATGGCCAGAAAGAATTGGCGGCAAAAACTTTGGGAACAAACCAATCAAAAACCTCTTGGTCGATAAATATCTCGAGGGAAATTCAGATGAATCAGACACACGCTAAGAATACTGTTGAATGAACCGGAACCGGATAGTTGGGTGATTTTAGATTATATGGACGAGATGAGAGCAACATTGAGGTTAGGCGTAGAGTTCTAGGTAAACAGGGGAAATCAATCGACGAAGTCGTGAAGCTACAAAGACTGAGATGGTTAGGACATGTGTTACGTATGCCAAGTCATCGCCTCCCTCGACGACCAATGTTAGCGGATATAGGGTCATTAGAGAGAAGAGAACACGAAGTTCAGCAAAGATATCTTTTCGGCGATTTCATTCTCAAAAGCTGTACAACTATCATATCAAGTTGAAAATTATTATCACCTTCGTTACTATGTGAAATTAAACAAATAATAATTCTATCCATGTTAAAATAATCTATATAAATGCGATTGTACAGCTTTTGAGAATGAAATCGCCGAAAAGATATCTTTGCTGAACTTCGTGTTCTCTTCTCTCTAATGTCGATATAGGGTCAGGCTGGAAAAGAGCTAGCGGTGGTCAAACAAAAACTTGGCTTCACCAGTCAATGAAATCCACAACTGTTAGTCTAAGCCAGTCACGTAGAAAGGTGCAGACTTCCAGGCTGGGGTCCTCGGGACGGTAAAAATCTATGGTTGGAAACAATTAGTGACATGGCTCAAAATCGTTCTCAGTGGCGCAGATGCATCCACTCCCTGTGACTTATGATCTTCAATGAAACTGTTTTGTATTTCTTTATTACTCCTTTGTCTCACACTTCTGCTCACTGTTTCTATTATGCTTTTCTTGTACTTTCTTCTCTTGCTTCGCGTGCTACACAGAATGTGGCGACTTGAACTTCCGCACATTTGTGCAAAGTTCTACGTCGAAAACAGACAGACATAGTCAATCCTGAGGCCAGCTAAAGACGACGGATGTGTGCTTTCAAAGCCCTATTTCCAACTCAAACGCCAAGGGAATATATAACAATAACCACTACGGTGTATCTCAAGTCTTTGTCAACCTCATTTGACAATGGCACGTGTCAAGTGATCCACAACGGAAAACTCAGAGAGGCGTTCGAAGTGGATACACGAAGTAGCTGGGGCTGTCTATTATCACCCACGATGATATTATTAATTGCGGTAGACAGGATTATGTGAAAGACTGTGCTTGAAGGCGAAGAGTCAGGAATATGCAGGACCACAGGTAAGAAGACTCTAGAAGATCTGGATCTCGAGTGTGGATGGTTTATGTCTAATATCACACAAACTCGAAGACTTGCAAGCGTAAACCAACAAACTGACTGAAAAGACAGCCAAAACAGAACTGCAGATGAACACACAGAAGACAGAGGTGATAAAGACAACCAACGAACAGCAGCAACAACAACAACAACCAGTACTAATCACCATCAACGGGAGAGAGATTTAACAGAGGCTCCCTCGTTCAGTTATCTAGAAAGCATCGTTTCATCTACAGGCCAGTGGAATGGATGAAGAAGTCACAGCCGGCTAGCGAGAATCGGAAAGGTAAGATACGCCTTCATCAACCTAAAACCAGTTTGGAAATCGTCTGCAGCACTGCACTCCGCAGCATAAAGAATAATATTCGGATTTTCAACACAAATGTTAAGTCAGTCAGTCAGTCAGTCACTTCTTTGATACGGATCAGAAACTTGCACTACGTGTCACGAAAAGGATTGCCAACAGTTTGCAGACTTTCATCAACAGCTGCCTCCATACTGAAGATCATGTGGCTAACCAGAAAGAATAAACAAGAAGAAATTATGGGAATAAACCAACAACCAAGAGCCAATCGCTCAACAAATATGTAGAAGAAAGTGAAGATGGATTGATCGGGCATACACGTTGAGGAGGTCGCCGAATGACATCGTACACCAGGCCAATCACTCACTCCAGTGAAATCCAAGTGGGAAGCGACAAGTGTGGCGTCAGTCAGTGCGAGGGTGACATATAGGAGATCGTGTGTGTTGACGAAGAAGAGATGATAGATTATAGAGATCAATCGTGCGCCCAGCTGAACAGGACGGCAGAATAGAAGAGAACTGAACAAAGTGGAGAGAGAGAGAGAGAGAGAGCGTTATATTGAAGCCCTATGTTCCACTCGGAAACGCAAGGGAATAATCATAATAAGAAGAAGAATAAAACACCAACAGAAATCGAAAAAGAGAAAATATCGATTTTTACTACATTTATTATTATTATTACTATTATTATTATTTCTTATTAATTACAATGACGTAATCCATTAGAGAGACAAAATAAAATGAGATGAGCTGAGTAGACAAGACGATTAATTTCAATAAAAATCATTATAATAATAATAATGATAATTTTTAAAAAAAATATCTAATAATAAATCTGTACAATAATCTCAACCATTGCAGAAAAGTAACAACCAAAACAGAAGTGAGTGGAAAATTAAAATCATTAAGCAAGCGCAAGTGTGTTATAGGACGAAGAGAAGTTGTATACACCTTGTTTGGTTGTGTTTGTGCTTGTTTTTCCTTGGTACATACCTCCTACCTTAACAACACCCTGGAACAGAACACCACTCATACATACATACATACACACACACACAGAAATATGAGTTAGTTATCCAAAACATATAAATGAACGAATTTCAGCGACAAACAAGTGAAATCGTTGTTGAAAATCTGATCTTGCTGAACGAGTTGGTTTATTCTCCGTGAAACATGCTATGTACTTGTTGGTGGTGTTGTTGGTGTTACTATTGTTAATATTATTGTTATTAAGTACATGATCAGGAGATTTTGTCTGGTCGACGCCTTCATCATCTTCACCAGTTTTACAACTACCACCTAAGTGTTCAAAAGCATCGCTTAGACGAGATTGGATAACTGGATTTCCACATTCACTAATCCATTGATGGATAAGCTGCAAGTAGGCAGTCTGAAACCAAAAAAAAATTGAATTGACTTATTATTATTAAAATGAAACCAAATCAATCAAGAAAGGAAAAACTTCTCAACTATCCCTGTGACTTTATTTATTTATTCATTTAAACGCATAAAAACTCGGTACAATGTAGCACACAATAATAATAAAACAACATAGATCAAAAGGAAAAAAGAAGGAAAAGAAAAAAAGTATAAGTAGAGAACGGATAAAGAACTTCGTCTGGAAGGAAAACAGTCCTGCTTAACAAGTTCAAACAGTATTCGTTAACTATTATCGCGGGAAGGGAAGAAGGAAGGAAACTGCAACACGTGTAATAGCACGCGATAAGTTTCATTGATTGTTTGTTGCTTTATTCAGTTCAATTCATTGTCTGAGGGTTAAGATACTGCCCGGGCGCCCAGACCGAAGCAGGTGGTTTTATTAAGGGACAACCCCCCCCGAGCCTTTGCCTTGGAGTCTAACCCACAAGGCAGCGTAGAAGCGTCAGGACCTGCATTCCCATGATTCCCGGTGACCCATATGGGTTCATACACCATTTGATCAGATTGGATACTGGAGCCCATGTACCCCATGGTAACTGCTTTTAGTTTAACCACTATCCAAACAACCTTCCTGACATGGTAGGACCTGCAGGGACAGAGCCCCCCAGTCAGTTTAGCCTGTTGGGTCATTACGGTATTCAAGCCAGACCACCACGACAAGGTAGCAGTTATCGGCCGAGCCTGTCACACTTGGTCGACACTGGACATCGCATCAACGTCAACACAGCTTTCTCGGTTATATACCGAATTCCGAAGACGCTATCACGTACAGTTCGCTTACGTCTGCTGCACATAGCTGAAGCTGTTGCAATAAGATCGACTAAACCGGAACTTTGTATCCAAAATGAACACGTCCAGACGTTGTTTCTACCGTGGCCAACCTTGGATTGAAGATTTTTCTTCTCACCAAGAGTCCTCCTTACCCTTAACCCTCTTGGTTTTTTTTTCTTTACTTTTACTTTGCTTATTATTATAAATATTATTATGATAGTTATTATTATTATTCGTCATAATTTATGCCCTTTATGCGAACATTCCCTCAATACTATCGAATTTTTCATTTATACTATCTGGACTTATTATTAGTGATATTATCTGTTTTCTCAATATATGCCTCCACCTGTTTCATTTCACGTATTCGTTATCTCATTATGAACCTCTCATTGCAGTCTTACTATCCCCTGTTTAAGACAGACCACTTTGTACTAGCCACTCACCTGACACCTTTTATAACCTTGAACTGATTTGTCAATTTTCCTACCCCACACTCTACAATTCTGTTATGATTAATCACCACCATTGCCACCCGTTTTACAATATTTTCCAATCGATTTCAGCCTAGCACGATGTTTGTCACACAAATACGACTATTTATTTTGACACCCCATAACTACTAATCTGTTATTCTACGTTAAAAATGTGTCCGCTGTATAAATGGCCATTATTGTAACGAAAACAAATATTAATATTTGATAATTGTAAGAGAAATTATTGAAAAGAATATTCTTCGTTCACATTGACTTTTAAAACTTTATCTGTGCCAGTCAGTCAGACAACCAACCACCTATTTCGGAGTCTGTCTCAGTGTCCAGTCACTATTCCATTGAGAGTGGAAGACATGAAAAGACTAGCTGTCTTTGATGATAGGTGCCTGCGCTCTATTTCCGGTGTGAAGTGGCATAATAAGGTGAGCAACATGGAGGTTAGGCATCGGTTGAGTGCTAGGTAAACAGGGGAAATCAGTCGACGAAGTCCTGAAGTTATAAAGACTGAGATGGTTAGGACATGTGTTACGTATGCCAAGCCATCGCCTCCCTCGACGAGCAATGTTAGCGGATATAGGGTCAGGCTGGAAAAAAGCTAGCGGCGGTCAAACAAAAACTTGGCATCAGTCAATGAAATCCACAACAGTTGGCCTAAGCCAGTCACGTAGGAAGGTGTAGACTTCCAGGCTGGGGTCCTCGGGACGGTAAAAATCTATGGTTGGAAACAATTGGTGACATGGCTCAAAACCGTTCTCAGTGGCGGAGATGCATCCACTCCCTGTGACTTATGATCTTCAATGAAACTGTTTTGTATTTCTTTATTGCTCCTTTGTCTCACACCTCTGTTCACTGTTTCTATTATGCTTTTCTTGTACTTTCTTCTCTTGCTTCGCGTGCTACACGGAATGTGGCGACTTGAACTTACGCACATTTGTGCAAAGTTCTATGTCGAAAACAGACAGACAGACATTCCAGTAATCCCGCACATATAAACATAGTCCTTACGATAGTGAATTCCTAACCACCGAAACCAGAATGAAACGCCTGTACAATACTCCGTATTAGTTTTCAATGGTTCTCGTTCTAACTGACATTAATCTGTCATCAACCCCTACCAGCTAATCCGTTTACTGTTACAACAAACTACAATCAAAATTTCCACCTATGTGTTCATGTTTGAATTGGTAACATTGTGTGAGCAATTCCGAGATTCGGTTGTACTTGTTTGGAAATACCGAATTTGATGGCTTGAACGTGTGCTACGAATGTCATCATTAGAGGCTTTCATACTGCTCTCTGTTCACTGAAGAAAGCGGGGAAGTGGTCAGTCTATGGCGTGCTCCTGTGAGATATAAGATATTTCTGTTAGGCTGACATCAGATAGTACATTATAAATCTATATCTCGGGTTCAGAGGAGAGTTTGAATAAGAGGTTCGAAACGTCATCACAATCGACGGCGGACATACATACATCAGCTTCCTTATTTCTGCCCTTTCAGAAAGTACAACGAAGGAATGAATGTAGGATGACCTTGAATAATAAGGCTCGCTTCCTCGCTTTCTGTATGAAATCATCCCTCATTCAGTCCCCTCCTATTTTTTCTCCACATTATTGCGTGGAACATCTCTCTTGGTGCCCATACTGTACCACAAAGTAAATAAAAGTATCCAAAGTGATACACCAAACCTCCATATAAGGCAAATCAACAAGATGAAAAATAAGTTAATGTGAGCGTAAAACTGTGGGCACTATGTGAGCACCAGAATTTATTTGATATAACATACAGTGACGCAGTATTAATAACCGGATGATATTTCGAACATAAATCATAGCTTAGTAGAACACAGGACTTCAAGCTAAAAGCTTGAGGTTTCTCTAGCAGTGGTGTTTATTTTTACGGGGTGAGGTTGCTAGGCTCACCTGCCCCCACCTTCCCTATTTACCAGTCTTATTACTAGCTTAGTGAGGCAAAGGAATGCGTCGGTGACCGGGGACCGAACCCCGGACCACATGAGGCGTAGTTGGTGGCGACTATTCTACCACTGTGCTACGGACGCACAATTATTGCTCATTAGTATATCAATTTAGTCACACAGCTTCACAATTTGTCTTATATGTGTATTATCTTTCTTTCTGTCTCACTATCTTCCCCCTTGTTATTTGATACTACTTTCCATATCTCCGTCACAGTCGTAATGTCATTTCAATTGCACGTGTGTGGTGTTGAATCCATAAACAAAGCTTCAATGATTAACCTCTTTTTTGTCTCTTCACCTAATCACTATATTACTTCTTAATACTTTCACCCTATCCCACCACCCTACTGGTGCTTACATGTAAGTGAATGCAATGCAATAGCTGGGCTCTGTTTTTTCTAGGTTTATTTAACTTAACAGGACTTAAACATTCTAGGGTCTAGCTAAATATTTATGTTCCAAAAATCTAACTGACCCCGATCTACTACTACTACTACTACTACTAGCTTGACCTATGTAACTGACTTCACTAATAGTTATTATGTGATATTTGGTAAATTATTAAGACGATAAAGTTGATCTCTGAAAGTGCTGATTGATTGACTGGTTGGTTGGTTGGTTTAAATGCCACCTCAATTAATTCTAGCCTCACTGAGAATCCTACGTAAGGTCTCTAAATGTTCCTTCTTTATATGGAGTACTACCTAAAGAAGCTTTCAATTCTATATTATTTACTTTGTCAATTTTTTACGAGTTGATCACAGATTGATATCAGTTAGAGAACCATTGAAAACGATGAAGTACTGGACAGCTGCTGTTTCAGCCTAGTTTGAGAATCATCGGAAGTATGCCCCCACTGGGATTCGAACCCACTTACAAGCTGGCTCGTAAACCATTCAGCCACTGGGATCCGATCCAATGGCTCATGAATCCTAACTTCTACTGATTCGTGATTTAGCGCGATCCCAACCACTGTCGTTGGTAGGACATCCATCCACACACATGACATCTAATTAGACCTCACTGGACACGATTTCTCACAGGAACTCCTGTCTGTCTGTTTTCGACATAGAACTTTGAACATATGTGCGGAAGTTCAAGTCGCCACACTCCCACCTTGTAGCACGCGAAGCAAGAGAAGAAAGTACAAGAAAAGCATAATAGAAACAGTGAACAGAGGTGTGAGACAAAGGAGTAATAAAGAAATACAAAACAGTTTCATTGAAGATCATAAGTCACAGGGAGTGGATGCATCTGCGCCACTGAGAACGATTTTGAGCTAGCCATGTCACCAATTGTTTCCAACCATAGATTTTTACCGTCCCGAGGACCCCAGCCTGGAAGTCTACACCTTCCTACGTGACTGGCTTAGACCAACTGTTGTGGATTTCATTGACTGGTGAACCCAAGTTTTTGTTTCACCTCTATTAGCTCTTTTCCAGCCTGACCCTATATCCGCTAACATAGCTCGTCGAGGGAGGCGATGGCTTGGCATACGTAACACATGTCCTAACCATCTCAGTCTTTGTAGCTTCACAACCTCGTCGATTGATTTCCCCTCTTTACCTAGAACTCGACGCCTAACCTCCATGTTGCTCACCTTATTATGCCACTTTACACGGGAAATAGAACGCAGGCACCTATCATCAAAGACAGCTAGTATTTTCATGTCTTCCACTCTCAGTGGCCAGGTCTCACAGCCAGCGATAAAGGAGGACGGAGCGGACTGATGAGCAGTACACCCGCCCTTTGGTCGATAGTCGAACATCTCGTCTACGCCAGAGTCGGCGTAAACTAACAAATGCGAAACGAGCCCCTTGTATTCGTGCTGAGATTTCGTCAGAGATCAACACGTTGGCACTGGCTGATGGTACTTCCCAAATAAGTGAAGCGGTCAACGTGCTCTACCACTTCAATTCCTATTTTTAAACTAGGCGTCGATGTAGTCCAGTCCTGTAACATCATCTTGCATTTCACGGCGGGAGCGAATCGCATGCCAAACATTCGTAGATTGCAGTTCAAGGTGTTCAGAAGACTCTGCATTTTGTCAGCGTCTTCGCCTAGAAGGACTATATCGTCTGCATATTCCAAGTCAACGAGATTATTCCCTGGTAGCAAGCCGATCCCTGAGTCGCTGAAGTCACTTAGGGTTAAGTCCATTAACACATCTATGATGAAGTTGAATAGAAAAGGAGATAATGGGCATCCTTGACGGACACCACTAGTCGTCACCAGTTCAGATGACAGCTCGCCGTAAGCCCTCACCTGGCTGTATGAGTACGAGTAGAGTGCCTTAATCAGTGCAATATATTTTCTTGGAATTCCCTTTACAGCCAAGCATCTCCAGAGAACTTCCCGATCGACAGAGTCGAATGCTGCCTTTAGGTCAAGGAATATAATCACAGGAACTCCAGAAACCTTCATTCTGTAGCAGGTCACTAGAAAGCATCAGAGCCATTGAATCGAGTCCCAGTGACTGAATGGTATACGAGCCAGCTTGACACGCAACCGGAAGATCCTGGGTTCGAATCCCAGTGGGTGCATACTTCCGATGATTCCTAAACTAGGATGAAACAGCAGCTGTCCAGTACTTCACCGTTTTCAATAATTCTCTAACTGATATCAAATCTGTGATCAACTCGTAAAAACATAACTAACACTTACAAACCAAACTATAGAATATTTGTCATTTTTGTTATTCGCATTACAAATCTCATTTTCATTGTTGGTCCTCATACATTTCTGAGTCAATTCTGGTTTGATTTCATCATTTAAATTTCTTCTGACAGACTTACTAATTAGGTTCCTGGACGACCGATTATATAGACATAATAATAATAATAATTTTTCCTTC